CTACAAAACACAGTATAGAAAACTGAGCAACACGAACCCTTCGAAACCAGGATTATGGTAACGATAAATGGAACATATCAATCGTCATCTGTGAAACATATACAATATATATTCCATAACGCCAACCAAACGTGATGGCGTCCGTAAAATTTTGCAAGGATAAATTCAACTTTTCTTCGGAAAATGCCTGTGACAAGTCAGGAATATGGCAGTTGTTTTTCACTTGTTCTGTTGATTGATAGCGTTTGATTTTGTCAGTTTTTATGGACTTTCCCTTTTCGAATTTGCCTTGGAGTTCGATATTTTTGTATTACTTTTTTACGTATTGGACCCCTTGGTGTAAACAGCAACCCTATACCATAAATGTCATGATAGGAAACGCAAGGTCTTAAATATCATATTAACTACTCCATATGCAGGCTTTGCAGGAATGTTGCTACATAGAAATTGAAAGTTCACAATAGGAAAGCTGAAATTTTGTCGTACAGTTTTGTCCTCAACCGATCCTTACTGTCAATTTCTAGATGCAAGATAAGACATGAGGCCGACTTAACTGTATTTGTGGACTCTTTTATTTAAAAGTTCGATAGGATTAAACCGGGGTTCAATTACATGCCAAAGTACTAATAATTGATTACACTTTCAATTACATACAGATTTTTCAATTAAATTACAAATACAATTGCATTAATTTTGAAATATAATGAATTACATTACAGTTACATCACCCATTTTGATTACTTTTGTCCTAAAAACTTAATCATATGGTATAAAATTTGCAAACCAGCTAATACTTTACTTATAAAAATTTAATATATGCAATATAAAACAATGTAACGTGTAAAAGCAATGTAAATAAGTTTTTAAATTTTATATTTCATTGTCATATCTAATCATCAAAATATATATGTTACAAGGGGAACTGTTATTTGTGGTTTGCCCTCACATTAGATGTATTTGCACTTCTTTCTTAAAATCTTGTTTGTTTTTATCCCATTTCATAAGGGTTTTTTTTCTTCTTTTTTTCAAGAATTTCACGGTGTTTTCTTTGGAATTCTGAATGGAAATATCAGCATTTTACACGGAGAGGCTGGTGTGTTGAATACGTAATATGGAATATATATCAATATTCATTAATTAAATAAGTTTGGAAGGAGAAAATGTATATTGACTTTGGCATAATAATCAGTTAAATGTAAGGATATAAAATTATATTCTGAGGTTAAGATTATCATTCATGGTAAGAATAACAAATTTACAGACTAAATGTCAATTAAATTGCTTTAAATCTTCTTCTTTTTTAAATGTTAAATGTTAAGATATAAATTAAGAAATTCAAATTGTTTAACATGTTATAAAATAATTCCCATATTTAGCAAATGATAATTATTAATGTGTTATTAAAACATAATGCATATTTAGTACCAGGTGCGAACTTAACGAAGGCACACTTAAGAGTGCATCTGAGAAACAAGAAGTGCACGTTTTAAATTTTCCAAGAACATGTCCAGTGCAATTAAAAGTAATTCATAATTTATTTACATGGTAAAAATGCAATGTGTAATTGATCATATTTTCAATTACATTTAATTGAAAGTAATGAATTACATTGCCTTTTTACCATGTAATTATGAATTACTTTTAATTATATGTAATTGAAAATATGATCAATTACACATTACATTAAATCACTGTAAAAATTGTTATACAATTATATTTTTTTAATTACCCCAGGTCTGGATGGGACAGACACCTTTTATAGCCGACCATACGGTATGGGTTTTTCTCATTGTTGAAGGCCGTACGGTTGCCTGTTATTGCTTACATCCACTTCATTTGAACTTTGGTTGATAGTTGTCTCATTGACAATCATACCGCATCTCCTTATTTTTTACATACAACATAGTCATCAAACTTTGAATTATTTATACTTTTGTGAGAGTCGGTTTTAAATAGACGTTTTCCCCCATGCCAGTTCCCCCCTGGGGAAAACTGGCTATTTCTCTATTTCCTCGGTGGAAATTTAGGATCGTTGCCATTCTTCCCCCGCGGAAAGTTGACAATACGCATACTTATAGCCACTTTCCCTCCATGCCCATACTTCCCCCATAAAATGGAATTTGCTGTATATAAATTATATATTTTCCAAAAGACTAAAAAAGTGAAAAAGTATATTTAAACAAAACGCATTTGACTAGCACGTCAAGTCGAACAACGGATGTTCTTAAACCCTGCAGACTGCCATTGGCGATTGCCAAGTAAACGGATCTCCAGATGTATCAAAATGGATCTTAGTTATTAATTTAATACCAAACAGAAAAAATGGTATACCGCAAACAATATATCACCATATCAGGATTTCGACAATTAATGTCTCTTCAGTGATGTTAGGAATCGAAACGGTATTTGGAAGGCCATATAATTTACCTCAATTTAGGATAGACTCTTGAAATTTGAAGAGTCGAAATGGGATGAACGGATCATATAAACCCGAAGGCAAATATAGTACAAGCCTAAACGAACACATATAAACAAGTCTAAATTGAAAACAACGTTCAAACCTATGATTGCGTTAGATAAAAACCGCAATTTTTATACGTGTGCATGCAAAACCAATTTCTTGCTGTAGGGGTCTAAATACAGCACATCCGTTTATTTGACAATCGCCAATGGCAGCCAGCAGGGTTTAAGAACATCCGTTGTTCGACCTGCTAGTCAAATGCGTTTTGTTTAAATATACTTTTTCACTTTTTTGGTCTTTTGGAAAATGTTACTTGTGCTGTATTTAGACCCCTCTACCAAAAAATTTGTTTTGCATGCACACGTATAAAAATTGCGGTTTTTATCCAACGCAATCATAGGTTTGAACGTTGTTTTCAATTTAGACTTGTATAAATTATATATGATATACAAATATCTTGAAAGGACTTTGTACATAAATGAAACAGAATTATGGACCTATTTATATCTACAAGAGACAGAATTTCACACTAAAGGGTGCTTAAAATTTGGCTGTATAACATTTAGGAATGTGGAGCTTGAAGACATACAGAACTATTCCAGCAAATACCAAGATTATCATTCAAAGATAGAAAATGGACATGTCATGTCATGATTAATTCAAAAGCAAAGTAGACCTTAATATATTTCTAAGATGACATCATTTCTGATAAACAGGAGAGAGGTTATCAACTATCATATGGACGTGATCACAACATCAGATTCATAGGCGGATCTTGGAATTTTTAAAGAGAAAGGGGGCGTTGTTCCAAAAAACGTAAGAAATACTGCCGCACGGGGCTAGGCGAAAATTGTGTGTACGAATTTATGTTAAAATTTATATATATCGTGAGAAACATGATATTTTTTATATTTTTTAAATCCATCAGTATTTTAAAGTTGTGTTTCCAACTGATGGATGTAGGCTCACGGTATTTCTGGCCTTTGGATAACGCATTTCACAGAGAAGTGTTATTGACAATGTTCAGGTCACCAGTAATAACGTGGCCAGCCTGATTATAAATGTGAACCTGGAACTAGCACAGGTGCAGTCGTGGTTGAGATTTAATTGAAGTCGTCAATATTGAGATCCTGCAACACGTGTTTGTAATTAAATTTTTAATTCCAACTGTTTTTTTTATATGTATGAGAGATGATAGGTACAGACTGCTCTTAATAGTAGGGAGGTATTTTCAGATTGAACTGATTTGCAATGGCGGATATTGGCTGAAGAATTGATGGCACCAAGTCCTTTGTTTCTCCGTTTCAATTTTTCCGATTTTAACCGGTCTGAAAAGTCTGTGACAGTCAATGTCCGAGATGATAGCAGTAAGTTTGTATTGGTTTTGCTTGCGATTTTTAACAGTGGATTCCAAACATAAGTTGCACAAAGATGTTTCAAAGCCTTAAAGGCTAGTTAATAAAGCTTTGTGCGAAAGTGATGAATATCCATCGACTTCTGTATAAATGATATATGGCTGAAGGTCATTAAAATAGACATTATGAAGAGTAGGTAATGTACAATGACGACGACCCGCATGGCTTCGTATACGCCGAGGAGCAGAGTTGAAGATAACGTCACCGAGTTGCAGGAATGACTAGAAAGAATACCTATCATCAATTTTGTCATTGCAACCATATGGTATCGCAGTTCCCAGTCTGTCTTTATGGTGTTTGCTGACCATTACTTGAAGCCCTACGTTGAATTGTACTGAGTAAGGAAGGGCGGAAACAGGCAAACGGTAAGGCTTTTAGTCTTTAGTCTGATTTGCTAGGGTCTGGATGGGGGTCCCTCATTTCTCTATAGATTAATTTTTTAGACCATTTTTTTCTCATTCCAGTTTATTTATTTTGTCCTTTATATTTTAGCACCCCATTATTCTCTATATTCTTAATATTTTAGCACCCCATTATTCCGAGGCTCTATCCTCTATAATTTTTGCCTATTTTTCTCTATCGATAGTGTTTATTTGCTGGCCCTTTATTCAGCGCTTGCGCCCCGCATTATTATGTATTCTGTAAATCCCATTCAGATCTTTATCCACCCTTCTTGGAAATTCTGGATTTTCCGCTGGGTTATTGCGGTCATTCAGCTCTTTGTTTTATAGTTGTCATCATGATTGACAACTGAGCATTTTAAAAAAAAATATTTGCTACTGGATGTAAATCAAACAACACGCTATCAATCTTTTATTACTATATAATAGTAAAGAAAGGATATGGGGTATCCATCTATGACACAAAATTAGTATGTGCACATAAAAAAACGTAAAAAGAAGGAACAACGCTTTTATTGCTGTAGTAGAGTAAAGATGTGTACTGATTATGATCGGAATTATTTTCGGTATTTGGTTTACTTTTATATTTCCCGCGGTTTTCGTTCGTAATTATTTTGTAAGGATTTTATCCATTTCTGACTTGAAAAAAACCGAAGTAATTCAAAACATTTAATTTAAACTGGAATCGGCTTGTATTAACGCTTCGCTCAATTATCCCAAGGCTAGCCGAGAACCAGTTTATATTAAAAATGGCAGACCAAGAAGCCGAAAAACTTATTCACGCAATAAAATTAACACAAAAACTGAGAGGAAGTGTTACTAAAGTATTTACAGACCTGTCAAATGGACAAACATCCACGAAAGAAGAGGAAAAAGAGATGCTTGGAGATCTGCAGAAATCTTTATTATCTATGAATGATAATTTGAGGTACATTGAAAAAAATTATACGAAAATAACAATTTGAGACGCAATAATGTTTTATATTGGATATTTTAAGACCTAAAGGTAGTTTTATAAGAAGAAAAAAATGATCCCACTGACCCAGGTCTGCTTAGGGTGGGTCTTTTTACCACCGAACTCCACCGCACACCACCGAACACCGCCGAACACCCAAAAAGCCACCAACCACTAAGAAAATCAGTGATATTATACAATAAAACGATAAAATTAATTAAATTACCTAAAATTTAATCAAATTTTCGATTTTTATGGGCATAATTTTATGTTAAAGTCGATAATCAATATAATCATGGTAAAGATTAAACGTCTCCAGATTCATCAATATTTTTCCGGATTACATTGTGTGTGTTTATATGTATTTCAAATAAAATTCAAATATATTCATAATAAGTAATCAGTTCATACATCCTCAATCTCTGTTCATTGGTTAGATTTTGATATTTGTCTCTTTTCTTACTATTGGTATAAGTATTTATAGAAGAACAAAATGAAAAAAAATTATATGTGAGGTGTCCAGTGGCAGTGGTGGTTTGCGGAGTTGTAGTGTTATAGACTCTCCTTTTCTGTTCAATGTAGATATTTGGTCTCTTAAACTTATTATTTGTTGAATTGATAACTTAAATATTATACGTAGGTCACATTTATAACGATAAAAGACAAAACAAATATTTTTTTTGGGGTGTTCGGTGGTGTTCGGTGGTGAAAAGACCTACCGGGTCTGCTTATACTGGACAGGAATGGCCATTTATTGATGGATTATAGCTCAATAGTCCATTTGGCAATTACCGATTTAATTCTGTTTTAATTGACACACTTTTAACACAAATAATTTGCTTCCCTTTGTCAATTGTAGACTAGTTCTATCCTGGGCAAAAATCGTTTCTGCCCACTCAAATCATGATAAGCAAAGTGATTTATCGGCATTTTAACCTATTTTTAGGGAAAAATAACTACTGGTTTCAAAGGATTTTACCTTAACAAAAAATTAAATGTAATTAATAAAAGTTTTGAAACACTTAAAGGTTACACACATTACACAAAGATAAATTTGCGCGTTCCGCTAGCTCTCCATTGTCAATGAAAATTTATGTCCTTCCCATAAAGGGAGACATCTAAAAAATGGATGTCTAATTACAGGGTCAATTACGTGAATTGGCAAATAGACTATTCAGGAATAATCCACAAATTGACATATACAGAGATAGACCAATATGTACCTTATTGCTATTTGTCTGCCATTGATGGACATTGCACACGTTCCATAAAATTTTGACATCTTAAGAAAAAATGTATGATGCCTCAAAGGAAAAGTGATTGTTTTATATTTCAAGTGTTGCAAATTCTCAGGTCAACTGGTCATCTGTCGCAGATCCTCAGAAGGTAACAATACAGTTCAGCACCTCACGAAATGAATCCCCTCCATATTTAATAGACAGTTCTGCACCGTTGGAGACATTTCGGGACCAAAACAAACCAGTACCTCTTTTCCTACTTATCCTATTGCTTTATAATAAATATATGATAAATTTTATTTAACAAAAGTATTTTTAAAATAAAAATGAAATTATTGACCATAAAATTCATAAAATCATATTTGATCATATTAAGACAAAACAATATTTGATTGTGTTTGAATAAACATTTTAATATATTAAAAACAAAGCTGACTGTAGTAAGGTATTAATCATAATACATGTACATGTAATCAATATTTTATCAACTTAAAAGACCAGGATACAAACCAAATGAGTGTAGACTGACAGACCTACCAGACTGTGCCTAATGTGCAGAGTCAGATGAGACTTTGGCATTGATGAAAACTAGAACCTTAGTCCTGTGACTAGACATGACTAGATTCAGTTGTTCTCGACTCATATTTTTGAAAAGGATATCAAGAAATATCAATCAAATTCTGTTCTATTGTTTTAATTCATTTTGTTCATTGAATCAACCCAAAAAAGGTTAATATAAAGGTTTTTTTTTGGACAAGGTACAATTCCATTCAGACAAGTAAGTTTTGGTATGTACTTGTCCTATTGGGCAAGTTGAAAAAAAAAGTTATTGTAGAGGCCTGTATAGAGGTAATATAAGGCAGTTGTCTATAATAAACAACTATTTAAATAATGATTTTCGCAAAATTAAAACCACAGTAAAATGAAGTTGAATTTTATTTCTAAGGCCACCACTTATTTATACATTTGACAAATATTGACATTTTTCAACCAGTAATTTTTGTCGCAGAAAGCTCGACATAGGAATAGTGATCCGGCGGAGGCGGTGTTAACTAACTTCTTAAAAGCTTAATATTTCAGAAGGTAGAAGACCTGGATGCTTCATACTTTGTATATAGTTGCCTCATGATATGAAATTTCATCTGTCATATGTCCATTGTCCTTGACCTAATTTTCATGGTTCAGTGACTACTTGAAAAAAAAGTTAAGATTTTTTGTAATGTTAATTTCTCTCTTATTATGAGTAATAGGTTAACTATATTTGGTATGTGCGTACCTTGCAAGGTCCTTATGTCTGTCAGTCAGTTTTTACTTGACCTCAACCTCTTTTCATGGATCAGTGAACAAGGTTAAGTTTTCGTGGTCAAGTCCATATCTCAGATACTATAAGCAATAGGCCTACTATATTTGGTGTATGTAATGATTCTAAGGTGTACATGTCCAACTGGCAGGTGTCATCTGACCTTGACCTCATTTTCACGGTTCATTGCTCAATGTTAAGTTTTTATACGACCGCAAAAATTTTTGCGGTCGTATATTGGTATGACGTTGGCATCGTCGTCGTCGTCGTCGTCTGGCGTTGTCCGGCGTCGTCCGAAGACACATTGGTTTTCGCACTCTAACTTTAGTTTAAGTGAATGGATCTCTATGAAATTTTACCATAAGGTTCAATACCACAAAAGGAAGGTTGGGATTGATTTTGGGGGTTATGGTACCAACAGTTAAGGAATAAGGGGCCAAAAAGGGGCCAAAAATAAGCATTTTTGTAACTTCGAGACATAACTTGTGTGTTAGTGTATGGATCTCTCTGACATTGTTCCACAAGGTTCCATATCACACAGGGAATGCTGGGATTGATTTTGGGGGTAATTGCCTCAAAATATTAGGAATTAGGGGCCAAAAAAGGGGCAAAAAACAAGCATTTTTCTAGTTTCATGACAATAACTTGTGTGTAAGTGTATGGATCTTTCTGAAATTGTACTACAAGGCTCCATATCACAAAGGGAAAGCTGGAATTGAGTTTGGGGGTAATTGCCCAAAATGTTTAGGAATAAGGGGCCAAAAAGGGGCCAAAAATAAGCATTTTTCTAGTTTCCAGACAATAACTTGTGTTCAAGTGTATGGATCTCTCTGAAATTGTACCACAAGGTTCCATATCACACAGGGAATGCTTGGATTGATTTTGGGGGTAATTGCCTCAAAATATTAGGAATTAGGGGCCAAAAAAGGGGTAAAAAACAAGCATTTTTCTAGTTTCATGATAATAACTTGTGTGTAAGTGTATGGATCTTTCTGAAATTGTACTACAAGGTTCCATATCACAAAGGGAAAGCTGGAATTGAGTTTGGGGGTAATTGCCCAAAATGTTTAGGAATAAGGGGCCAAAAAGGGGCCAAAAATAAGCATTTTTCTAGTTTCCAGACAATAACTTGTGTTCAAGTGTATGGATCTCTCTGAAATTGTACTACAAGGTACCATACCACAAAGGGAAGGCTGGGATTGAGTTTGGGGGTGATGAATCATAAGGGGGTTCAAAAAATTTGGGGGGGGGGGATTTTTTTTTTTTTTTTCTTTTTTTCTTTTTTTCCTTTATTTTTCTTTTAAAATTTTCCATTTTAAGTTGGTTATTTCTCTGTTTTATATTTAAAGGCAAATAATAATGATATGGTAGGAGATACACACCAAACAGGATGTGTAAATTATTATATAATAAGTATTGTGCAATAGCAAGAAATTTTCAATTGCACAGTATTGCACAATAGCAAGAAATCTTCAATTGCACAGTATTGCGCAATAGCAAGAAATCTTCAATTGCACAATATTGTGCAATAGCAAAAAATATCCAATAGCACAATATTGCGCAATAGCAAGAAATTGTCAATTGTACAGTATTGCACAATTGCAAGAAATATTCAATTGCACAGTATTGTGCAAAAGAAGATACTTCGTATAAGTTGCTTATTTCTTGACCAATTTCAATGGGGTTTTATTCTTGAATTCTTGGGGTTCTTAAATATGCTGATTCTAACCGTGTATTAAGTTTTTGGATTTTGGGCCCTGTTTTTAAATTGGTCCACATTGAGGTCCAAAGGGTCCAAAATTAAAATTTTAACAAAAATTGAATTCTTAGGGTTCTTTGATATGCTGAATCTAAACATGTATTTAGATTTTTGATTATGGGCCCAGTTTTCAAGTTGGTCCAAATCGGGGTCCAAAATAAAACTTTGTTTGATTTCAACAAAAATTGAATATATGGGGTTCTTTGATATGCTGAATCTAACCATGTATTTAGATTTTTGATTTTTGGGCCCCATTATCAACTTTGTCCACATTGAGGTCAAAAGGGTCCAAAATTAAACTTTGTTTGATTTCATCAAAAATTGAATTCTTGGGGTTCTTTGATATGCTGAATCTAACCATGTATTTAGATTTTGGATATTGGACCATAAAATAGGCGAATGTCCAATTTAAAATTTTTAAGTTCTTAGACCACATTCATTCTGTCAGAAACCTATGCTGTGTCAAATATTTAATCACAATCCAAAATCAGAGCTGTATCAAGCTTGAATGTTGTGTCCATACTTGCCCCAACTGTTCAGGGTTCGACCTCTGCTGTCGTATCAAGCTGCGCCCTGCGGAGCATTTTATTGTGTTTTGGTCTGTTTTTCTAATACTGTATGCAGTAGGTCAACTATATTTGGTGTATGGAAATATTTTACGTTGTACATGTCAGTCTGGCAGGTTTTATTTGACCTTGACCTCATTTTCACAGTTGATTGCTCAATGTTAAGTTTTTGTGTTTTGGTCTTATTTTCTGTCCTTAGGATTTTCCTTCCATCTATGTGTTCAAAACAAATGGTTTTGCATGATAACATGAGTATCCCTTGCTTCATTGGAATAAAACTTACACTGATGCAAGGCACTAAAAGGGGGAAGAAGGCTATTAATTGTGTGGTAAATAGGTTAAAGGTTAAGGTCACTGTAACAGGTTCTAAAAAATGAAAAAAAAAAAATGAGGAAAAATGGTTTCTTGATCATGTTGATGGTAGCTTAAGTTTCAATTGCTTAATTAGAATTAAACATACATATGTATACAGATGGGGAAGAAGCCTATCGATTTTGGGGTGAACAGGTCAAGGTCACTGTTATCAATCAGATTCTGTTCTATTAGAAAAACAATAAAATTTTGGTTTCAGAATGGTATCCACTATGAATTGTAACACATTTATTCAGGTGATAGATTAGCAGTAAAGTACAAATTTATTTTTTTCTGTCAATCATGCTTGTATTTGCACTTTTGGGAACCTTGAAATAAAAATGTTTTCTTAATAAATGTGCAGTTCTAGAAGCATCAGCTGATGGCAATGCCAGCTTTTTACTTGTTTGATCATCCATAGATCCTTATATGTGATAAAAACTTGTAATGGTTATTTGATATTCAAAAAAAATTAACAAATTGATAGTTTTCTATATTTAAAAAAGAGAGGCGAAAGATACCAGAGGACATTCAAACTCATAAGTCGAAAAATAAACTGAGTGACAATGCCATGGCTAAAACAGAAAAGACCAACAGACAAACAATCAAACAATAAAAGCCCTGTTCATTGATAATTTCCTATGTTTTCTATGTATTGTGTGCGATTTTGTCCCATGTACATTAACTCCATATCCTTTCATTTTCTATTCAAACAATAGTACACAAAACACAACATAGAAAAATAAAGACTGAGCAACACAAACCCCACCAAAAACAGGGGGTGATCTCAGGTGCTCCGGAAGGGTAAGCAGATCCTGCTCCACATGTTGCTCATGTTAGTACAAACCCAGTAATTAGTCTAATTCTGTAGGTCACTTTCAGGAAAAGGGGAAGGGATTGTAGTTACGACATTAGGAACATATCCGCTATCATCTGTGAAACGAATATTCCATAACTGTCAACCAACTCATGATGGCTTCCGTAAAACTTACAAAGGGATGATTTCAACTTCACCACTTGGAACTCTTGGTTTAACAGCTTCCTTGTGAGCAGCAACCCTCTATCAAGGAAATCATGATAGGAAATACAAGCCCTGGAATATCTTATCAACTGGGAGATATATACAGGCACTGCTGGAATGTTGCTACATAGAAATGGAAAGCTCACAATTGGGAAGCTGAAATCATCTCTTTTGTCTTAAAGTTTTGTTTTCAAGCAACCCTCATTGTCAATTTCTAGATGTAAGTCAAGATATGAGGCAGACTTAACTGTATCTGTTGTGTCCTTTATCTCAAGGTCGATAGGATAGATGCGTTGAACATAGTCACCAAATTTTGAATTATTTAGTGAGAGAACATCATCTATATAGCGGAGAGTAAAGTTAAAGGATACTGCTAACTTCTTTTCTTTCTAAGAAGTTCCTGTTTGAAGTCAGCCTCTTATGAATAAAGGAACAAGTCGGCAAGAAGAGGGGCACAGTTTTTTGCCATGGAAATGCTGATTGTTTGTTGAAAAACACGTCCTCCAAACTTAACAAATATGTTGTCAATCAAGAAATCAAGCATCTTGATAATGTCAGTTTCAGAGAACTTTTTGTTTGAATCAGAGTGATTTTTTACATAGAAGGATTTATCCCTCTCTAAGACAAGATATTTGTATCTATGTTAGCCATTCTTTTTTATGAAACAAAGCAGGACCAACTCTTTCAATTTGTCTTTTAGTTTGGAATGGGGAATACTTGTGTAAAGTGTAGAAAAGTCAAATGTTTTAATACTATTGCAAGATGAAAGAGTCTTAGATTGTATGTACTCTTAAAGATCTTTGGAATTTTTTAGTATCCACATCTGATTCACGCCACCTCTAGAATAGGTAGTTTCACAATAACTTTGAAGCCCAGCTTTGATTGCTGATAAGATTGATGTTAGTAATTTAGAAAGAGGTTTCGTGGAGCACTTGGAAGACCCAGCAATATACCGTTGTTTGAAAGTAAACTTATGTAGTTTAGGTATCCAATACAGCGATGGAAGATCCAGTTCTTCATCCTTGGTTGAAATTCCAAAGGAACATAGAACAGACCCTATGATTATCCAGGATTTCCTCTTTAGTAAGTGTTGTGGGGGATATGTTGAGTTTCCAAGTGAATTGTTAATACCTAATTCATTTTTCAAGCAGTTTATGTAATGTGATTTACACACAAAAACGATGTTGTTTGGGGCTTTATCTGCGGGGACAACAACATATTTTTCATGGAGGTAGGACAAGTGGTTTGCAACATTTGGATCTTTAAAGATTGATGTAGCATGAGTATTAATAGACCCATTCAGTTTCTTAATTCTTAATTGTATCAACGACCTTACAACCTTAATCCATTCGGAAAGAGTATCTACGTCTTCTTTCTCATGTTTAACCCCTTGCCTGGCATAATCCTCGACTGAATCCATCAGTATTTTGAAGTTGTGTTTCCAATTGATGGTTTTAGGCTCACGATATTTCGGGCCTTTGAATAACATATTTCGCAAAGAAGTATTATTGACAATGTTTAGGTCACCGGTAATAATGTGGACAGCCAGATTATATATGAATGATGATCTAGCACAGGTGCAATCAGGAGGTTTAGACTTGAATGATTTATTATGAAGGATATTGCCCAAGTTGATGGCATTGAGACCGATGAAGGGAGGCTGAAATTGTCCACATGACATGAAATACTTTTGCATATATCATGGATTCTGACCAATGTTATGCTTTTTGTAGTGACCTGGAAAAGATCTCACAGAGTTTGCCATCTACAGTTCACCAGACGTCTAACAACATTAGTTTAGTATGTCTGGATCCAGCCACAGACAGAACACAGCTGCCTAGTCAGTTAATTCATGCACACAAGTGGACAAATAAGGTAAACAATTCTATACACCAGTGTAATAGTCGGTCTAGCTACATCAAGTGACACTGACATACATGACATACTTCTGACCGGGTGTGAGCCAAATCTTTTTCATGTCCAAAAATTTTGACATGTAAAAAAAAGAGTGTAGTAGCACTATCTAAGGCATTAAAATAATAGTTGATACCATGTAGAGTTCTGGATAGTTTATTTAGTATGAAGCATCAAATGAAACCATGCAATAACATTTATTAACCAATGACTTAAAATACATTATAATTTGTCCATTAATTACAATTCCATGTGCCTAAGAACTGGTCATTAATACAGGTCTAATACAGAAAAACAGGTCTCATACTAAATAATAACTGGTCTAATACAGGTTTTTAACTTCCGGTTAGAAAATGGAAGTGTATATTAAGAAAAAATGTTAGACACATGTTAGATTTCAACAAGTTGGATGTTTAAGATTTTGTTGTTTTTCATATGTTATGATACTTTTTCTTTGGTTATATACAATAATAGCCTGTAGAAATGTTGATTGTCCACAATTGTCAACTGTATAAAGTTATTACTCTGAGGTTGTAGACCAAAGTGAATGAACTTTTTAGGGTTAACAATTTTGGATATTCATTTATTTATACTAGAAATTAATCAGCTACATATATTTAGATACACTTTCAGAAGTATTTTTAAAGCCCTTTTTATACGACCACAAATTTTTGCGGTCGTATATTGGTATGACGTTGGCGTCGTAGTCATTGTCCGAAGACACATTGGTTTAAATTTTCGCACAATAACTTTAGTTTAAGTGAATGGATCTCTATGAAATTTTACCATAAGGTTCAATACCTCAAAAGGAAGATTGGGATTGATTTTAGGGGTTACGGTACCAACAGTTAAGGAATTAATTAATGAAAAAATGTAAGGACCTTATACATCCCAATTGTCAACCCCTGTATAATATAGTGATATGTTGTAAGTGAACAGACTTGCCCAATTCTCAACCCCTGTATAATATAAAATGATATGTTGTAGGTAAGCAGACTTGCCCAATTCTCAACCCCTGCATAATATGATTGATATTGTATTTATATTGTGTCATAGATCAAATTTATTCATTCAGTGTATGTTTATTTGTGTTTGTTAATATGTCTTTTTGATCGAGTTAAGCCATTTCAATTGATATTTTATAGTGTGTCTTTCTGTGTTGTAATGTTACACTACTGTTGCAGGTTAGGGTGAAGGTTGGCACCTGTTAAAACATTTAAACCCTCTGCATTTGTTTGCACCTGTCCTAATTCAGGAGCCTGCTGTTCAGTGGTTTTGTTTGTTGATGTGGTTCATAAGTGCTTCTCGTTTCTCGTTTTTTATGTAGATTAGAGTGTTGGTTTTACACCGGTCATTTGGGGCCCTTTATAGCTTGCTGTTCGGTGTGAGCCAAGGCTTCGTGTTGAAGGCCATACTTTGACCTATAATTGTTAACTTTTTATACGACCGCAAACATTTTTTTGGGATCGTATAATCATGATAATGGCCGAAGACACATTTGGTTTCCGGACAATAACTTTAGTTTAAATGATATTAGGATATTAACTTGTGTATAAGTATTTTGATTGCTCTGAAATTGTACCATAATGTTTAATACCACAAGTAGAAGGTTGGGATTCATTTTGGTGGTTATTGTGCCAACAGTTTAGGAATTAAGGGCCAAAAAGGGGCCAAAAACAAGCATTTTTGTAGTTTCCGGAATATAACTTGTGTGTGAGTGTATGGATCTCTCTGACATTGTACCACAAGGTTCCATATCCCAAAGGGAAGTCTGGGATTGAGTTTGGGGGTAATTGCCCTAAACATGCAGGAATAAGGGATAAAAAAAGGGACAAAAACAAGCATTTTTCTAGTTTCCAGACAATAACTTGTGTTTAAGTGAATGGATCTCTCTGAAATTGTACTTCAAGGTTTCATACTACAAAGGAACGGCTGGGATTGAGTTTGGGGTTAATTGCTCCAAGGAGGGATTCAAAAAGTTTGGGGAGGGGTGGATTTTATTTAAGGGGTTTATATTTTTTTTTTCAAAATTTTTCAAATTTCATATTTTTGAAAAGTTTCAAGAAGAAAGAAGAAACCTTCAATTGCACAGTATTGCGCAATAGATTTGTAAGATCTTTGACCACATTTATTTTGTGTCAGAAACCTATATTATGTCAAAAATTTGACCACAATCCAAATTCAGACAGTATCAAGCTTGAATATTGTGTCCAAATTTGCCCAAACTGTTCAGAGTTCGACCTCTGCTGTCGTATCAGGTTGCGCTCAGCGAAGCATTTTATTACACATTGTGACTTGGATGGAGAGTTGTCTCATTGGCACTCATACCACATCTTCTTATTTCTATTGCCCTATTTTCAATCCTCTATAATATAATGCTATGTTGTAGGTAAACAGACTTGCCCAATTCTCATCCCCTATATGATATACTGATATGTTGTAGGTAAACAGACTTGCCCAATTTTCAACCCCAGTATAATATAATAATATGTTGTAGGTAAACAGACTTGCCCAATTCTCAACCCCTGTATAATATAACGATATGTTGTAGGTAAAAAGACTTGCCCAATTCTCAACCCCTATATGATATAATGATATGTTGTAGATAAACAGACTTGCCCAATTCTCAACCCCTGTATAATATCAAATGATATGTTGTAGGTAAACAGACTTGCCCAATTCTCAACCCCTGCATAATATAATGATATGTTGTAGGTAAAAAGACTTGCCTAATTCTCAACCCCAGTTTATATATAATGATATGTTGTAGGTAAACAGAGTTGCCCAATTCTCAACCCCAGTATAATATAATGATATGTTGTAGGTAAACAGACTTGCCCAATTCTCATCCCCTATATGATATAATGATATGTTGTAGGTAAACAGACTTGCCCAATTCTCAACCCCTGCATAATATAATGATATGTTGTAGGTAAAAAGACTTGCCTAATTCTCAACCCCAGTTTATATATAATGATATGTTGTAGGTAAACAGAGTTGCCCAATTCTCAACCCCAGTATAATATAATGATATGTTGTAGGTAAACAGACTTGCCCAATTCTCAACCCCAGTATAATATAATGATATGTTGTAGGTAAACAGACTTGCCCAATTCTCAACCCCTGTATAATATAACGATATGTTGTAGGTAAAAAGACTTGCCCAATTCTCAACCCCTGTATAATATAACGATATGTTGTAGGTAAAAAGACTTGCCCAATTCTCAACCCCAGTTTATATATAATGATATGTTGTAGGTAAACAGACTTGCCCAATTCTCAACCCCTGCATAATATAAAGATATGTTGTAGGTAAAAAGACTTGCCCAATTCTCAACCCCAGTTTATATATAATGATATGTTGTAGGTAAACAGACTTGCCGATTATGCATGCCAAGCTTTGCAACAAGCTACTCTAAGAAGAACCAATAAAAGTCAGGTTGGACCAGGTTTATCTACAAAACGACAGAGGCGCATGCCACCAGTAGCTCATAATATCCCAGCAAGGTATTTAATTAAATGTCAGGATTATTATTGTTATTATCTTAAATGTAAAATGAGTAGATCACCTGATGGCAACTGTGTAATTCATAAAATAAAGATGCCAAAGTCTTACCTTAATCCCAAAATTCTGGGTTTTAAGTAATGTACCAGTCAACATAAAAATAAGGAGATGTGGTATGATTGCCAATGAGACAACTATCCACCAAAGTTCAAATGAAGTGGATGTAAGCAATTATAGGCAACTGCACGGCCTTCAACAATGAGAAAAACCCATACTGTATGGTCAGCTATAAAAGGCCCTGACATGAAAAATATGAAACAATTCAATTGAGAAAACTAACGACCTAATTTATGCATAGTTAAGGTTTATCATGTTAATGCTTAGTCATAAATAACTTTTTAGGCGAGGACCAAGGCAATTGACCTCGAGTATTGTGGTGCAAGGTTTACATTTCCTAGAAGTTTTTTCCTATACACATTGATAAAATGTCATTTTAATTTTTTTGCCATCATTTGTTGTTGACCATATTATACCATCATTTTAATTTGGTCATTTTTATGGGAGTAATGGGACTTTGACCACAATTGTCTCGACTGCGACAAAAGTTGCAGAATGTGAGGCATAGGAATAACTAGCCAGCGGCTGCAGGGCATTGGCATAAACTATTTGTATAAAGCTTCTTATTTCTGAAGGTAGAAGACCTGGATGCTTCATACCTTGTATATACATACCTTATGTTATGAAGTTTCCGTCTGTCATATGTCCATTGTCACTGAACTCATTTTCATGGTTCAGTGACTGCTTGAAAAAAAAATTGCAGTTATTTTGTGAAGTGAAATACTCACTCATTATGAGTAATATGATAATTACATTTTGTACATTGGTTCCTTACTAGCAAAGTTTGGTTAATTAATTTTCCAGAAACAGAATAAAGTTGATCCCTTTGAATTGTAAACAACATTTTTCTTGGGATCAATCTAAAATGGGAGGCACTCAAATTATTTAAATATGGGTGGTTACATTTTTCTTAGAATTTTGCAAGAATTATAAGTAAATTTATGGGTGGTCAGGGTCTTTAAAAAGTGTCTCTTATATCCCCCCATGCAAATGGTGGGGGGTCAATTTCTTCTCATTTCAGATTTCAGAAATTAAAAAGAAAAATTCTTTAAATATTATTTTTTTTGCAAAAAAAAGTGGGGTGGGGTGGGGGGTCAATACGCAACAGCATAGTGTATAGTACAAAAGCAAACAAAAAAGGGGGGGGGGTAATTTTTTTTTTTGTAATATAAATTCAAATCATATAACCAATTCTAAGTTCTTTGACTACAGTTATTTTGTGTCAGAAGCCTATTATGTGTCAAATATTTAATTACAATCCAAATTCAGACCTGTACCAAGCGCTAAAAATTGTGTCCATTTTTGCCCCAACTGTTCATGGTTGGACCTCTGCCGTCATATCCAGCTGCGCTCGGCGAAGCAATTTATTATAGTTAAAAATTTCAGGTTTCCCGTGCCTCATAACTTTTAAAACATACATGTTTGATAATGTTATAGTTAAGACTTATCAAACTTGTAAAGACTGTACCGGTAGGTTTATGTGTTATCTAGAAACAATAAAATGCATATTTTCACATGTCTTATATTGTGTACACTGCGTTATCTGTACACTTTTTTATTCTGTACAATTCGTTGGGAAAACATTGTATTTGTCATATGAATTTTGCATGTATTAAAACATGTTGTCATATGTGGATAACAATATACATGTTAAAAAAATGATTTACCACCATAAGCCAACATATAATCTCTGTTGTATAGTTGAAATACACTTGGAAGTATTAGAGTTCTTTTGTACATATAAGAAGTGTCAGAACCAATATGAAAGTGTAAATTGGTTAGAAAATACAATCGCTCGACATATTACAAATATCACTGGCTGAGCGTACGGATAGACGCGTGCGACTTCCCATTTGATTACGTATTTTCAAACGTTTATCGTACGACATTCAACCATAAGCAAATCTTCTACTGTATAAGATGAATAATAGTGAGCAAATTATAAAAACAAGAGGCCTAATTTATACTACAACAAGAAATCAAAACAATCAAAACATGTCAAACAGCAATTAAAAAAACAATGGATTATAGGCTCTTGACTTGGATCAGATTTCTTTTTTTTTTTACTTTTGCGCAATTTCCTTAATAGGTAACGCAGGTACATATAGATAATTCATGATAGATTTGTCTTATGTTATCATTTTGAATTATACATTTTCCATATTGACTTCTCAAAAATCATAGAAAGTGATCAAGAGAAATCCCGTTATCTCTTAAAACATACTGGTACATGAATATTTATTGCGACGTACAGTGGCCTATAAAAATTTAACTCAACTATGTGTTTGTCTATTCCACATTGGCTAAAGTTTTAGGGGGAGGTTGAGAACTCAGAAAACATATTTAGCCCGTCACATTTTTGCACCTGTCCCAAGTCAGTAACTATCCGTTGTTAGTCTTGTGTGTTTTTTTAGTTTTGGTTCATTTGTATATTTCGGACTTAAGTGTGGCATTCATTTCACTGAACTAGAATACATTATTGTAAAGGTGCCAGCTGCAGTCCACCTCTAATGCGAGATTTTCCCGCTGCGTTGAAGACCCATTGTGGCCTTGAGCTGTGTTCTGCTCTATAATTGGGTTGCTGTCTGTTTGACACATTCCCTGTTTCCATTCTGTATTCTAATTGCTAATATTGTATTCTGTTTCCTAATTTTACTGAATACAAATTAAGTCATTGTGTGAAGTTGCGTCAACGCACATCTTAAAAAATATAAATATATATGAACGATGGATTTCCTTTAGATATCGATAGAACACGTTTATTCTGCCTTTGAAATTCTTTGTGTGCCTGTTCCCAGCCAGGAGCCTGTAGTACAGTGGTTGTCATTGTCATATATGGTTTTTCGTTAATTTATTTGTAATAAATGAGGCTGTTATTTTTCTCGTTTGAATTGTTTCACATTTTTCATGTCCGTGCCTTTTATAGACGATCATACGAAATATTTTTTTTCATTGTTGAAGGCCGTATGGTGGCCCATAATTGCTTACTACCACTTCATTTTAACTCTGGAGGATAGTTGTCTCATTTAGTTTATTCCTCCTATTCCTACATTTTAAAATCTGATATGTCATTTGTAAGAAATTCATGTAGGAATAGAATATTAATATGAGAAATTGTTAAAAAAAAATTCAACAAAGTACATTCCTATATTTAATTTTCTATTCTATTCTCTACAATGCATCCACTTGTTTTATCTTTATAATTAAAGTCTTCATAGATAAGCAAATAGGTGCATTTCTTTTGCACTTATTATGCCCCAGCTGTAGCGGTGGGGGCATTAAGTTTTACCCTTGTCCGTCTGTACGTACATAGATATGTATGTACGTACGTCCCAAAATTGGTTTCTGTTCTCTAACTTGAGTTTGCCTCAACCAAATGTTATGAAACTTATACACAATGCTTATGACCACAAAACACATATCAAGTTTGAATTTTGGTGGCGTCACTTAAACCATTCTAGAGTTATGCCCCTTTATAACTATATGATATGCAAGCGGGGGCATCATCTGTGTCCACATGTGGACACTATCCACATTTATTTACCTGTACATCAATTAAATCTAAATTGCTAAAACAACAAATTACCTTATAACAACAGCTATTGTACTTTGTTTGTAGGAATAGAAGGCATATGTATTTTTGAAATGTAGGAATAGCAGAAAGATACCGTCTCATTTGCAATCACCACATTTCCTCATTTCTATATATATATATATAAATGCATCAAAATTCAATATGCACAAGTAAATACAACTAAGGAAGTACTAGTAATATATATGAAGGTTATTTGGGTTGGATGGGATGGAAATAATATAAAAATCTAACTTCTATGTCCTAACTTTCTAGTAATGAACGCCACATTGGTCAAGCAAGTCTAAATATTTCTTTATATACTGACCACCTAAAATGTTCGTCCAAAAATGAATTCGATTAGTAGTACCTTATCTAATTTAGACGTTGAAAACTGTTATGGTAAACCTAGGACTGTAAAGAAATGGAATATCTAGTTTCCCTGTTTTACCTGTTAAATGAATCGCGCAAATGTATTAAAAATCTGCGCACAAATGTAATGATTATTACGTGCAAATGTAATGGTAATGGGCGCAAGATATAAACATTATTGCTTAGTTTCCCCTAACATTATAATGTTTTGCTACTGTAATGCCAAAATCCAAACGATTCATCATTCGTTCTGATTATTATTAGCATCTTAAATCTATACCCATCCTACAGTATATTAATTTCCTTCTTACTTATTTTTCCCCCTTTTCTTCATGAAAAATCATTAGCACCAATCTGAAGAACCAACTACTCTTAATGGACACTTGTTATTGCTCTTGTTTTCTCGGATGAATATCAAGAACACAGACGCATGCGTTAGACTAGTAATCGAAAACCTAAACATTTTCTTGATTAGCCTGAGTGATTTATCATTCAAAGTAAAAGTGTGGTTGTATTTCTGGCCAAATACAAAACCAACAATACCAAAGTCAGCAACTGAAAGCATTTAGAAACACAACAAGTTTGACTTTCCAAACTTGAGCATATTTAAAATAGTCAGCACGATAAGGGTAACCATGCAGTTGAGAATTTCAGCATTTAAATAGTTCCTGAGCTTTTTTTTAAACTTGCTTTACAAAATAGGACAGAAATGATTTTATGGATTAGCACTGATGCATGTGCATTATGATTGATTGGTTGTTTTTTCCTTAGTGTCCAATGGCAAACATTTCATGCATGTTCAGGACGCAAACAAATTAACAATAAATACAATATGTAGGTCCTATTATAAGGGTTGGTCGGGATGAATTTTGGGGATTGGGGGTAGGACTGCCACTGGAAAATGAAATTGATCCATGCAAAATGCCCCTATGGACCCATCAAAGAATTTTTGCAAGGGTTCTTACCGTTAAGAGGGTGTGGCTCTCTCTAATTGAGCCATCGGATTTCCGTTCGGAAAAAAGACCAAGGTATGACTATTTTCCTATAACCCAGTCAACCCTTTTGGTTTGCACTTGCATTATGTTTACACTAAGAAATTCATGGACTAGTTTATGCTTTTGCTCGTAGCCATCAAAGAAAAGTTAGATTTTAATCAATTTTGTGACTTATGGATTACCATTTTGTTGCTACCTTCATGACCTTTATTATCAAAGAAAAATGAAGCGTTTTGAAAGTTAGCATTTGTAACACCCCCTGAAAAATTTATGGGTCTGCCCCTGTCAATGATACTGGTAAATAATGCATCGTTGTTAAACATGTTTGCAAGTCAATCCTATACATAACCTAAGACAGTGGTGTAAAAACACAAGATAAGAATTGACTATAAAATAGTTGAAAAGGACTTGACTCGTCATCGAATGCATTCGGCAAACAATGTTCAGCAAGCACATCTGGTTGTTTTCGTTTAGGCGAACTTGGACCAACATCTACATTTGAGAGAGGCTCAAAATCGTGAAAGTAAGAGATATTGAAGTTTTAGTGGCTGTAATATATATATTTTTTTAACTTTATTTTGTCTGGAATAACGTGGAAATTCTCAGTCTTCAATAAAAAATTCCCTTCAGATGTGCGCTGGATAAAACATTTCAATAATGGCTTTGGATGACTGATAATTTCATGGTTGATTACTTCGACAAGAGTTACAGATGCAAATTTACAATAAAACACAGAAAAAAGGCTTTGGATGACTGATAATTTCATGGTTGACTACTTCGACAAGAGTTACAGATGCAAATTTACAATAAAACACAGAAAAAAGGTGCTAATGCCATCATGAATACATTAAAAAGACAGAGATTTGTGATGGTTTTTGTCTACGAATTGTACAGTGATTATTTGTAAGAGAGCAATGAACTTGACATGTTTGGTGAAACGAACGCTACAGTATAAGATGAACTTATTTAGAACGATATCGTGTTTATTTGGATTTCTAGGGAACATTTGAAGGCACATGGTAATTTTACGTTTAGTTATCTATCATTCCCTAAAGTATTGCAACACACAAAAGTTAATGTAAGAAAAGATATTGAACAATGTTTACCTCATAAAAGGTTGCACTTTGTAAATACAGCTGTTTCTCAAACCACGCCTCTTTTGGGGAGATATATAATATTCATAGATATGTTAATTTGTTAACGTACTGGTTCCCATTTATGATCTCTGTGTTTCATCTCATAGAGACATCACTTGGGAATGTAACCAGTATAGAAAAACATGGTAGCGCCTAAATTTTAATTCTTAGGAGGTACAAAAATGAAGGTAAGGGTAGTATAGAATTTTAGTATAAGTTTAAACTCTTAGAAGTTCAGGGCATATAAATGTTGAAAATATGTCGCACAGCCCTATATTTTGACCTTTGAATAAAATAGTAGTGCATATAAACTTTCCGTTCTGGGATATTATTTTTCACGAAACTTCATAGTAAAAGTGTCACAGTTTTAGCCGCAAAGGGAGTTTCTATGGGAAATTGCATTGTCTATATTTACAGAATTGCAACCTAAAATGTAGAAAATTGCACCATGCCTGTGCGTTTTGCATCTAGCATGTTTATCTAACGCTTTTAACAAAATCTTAAACTTACAACAACTTTATAATTGATTAAATAAACTACCATGTTCATGTACACATTGATGTATACTCACATAAGTTCTAGAAAGGCATTCGAAATTGTTGTCTTCCCAAAAGTTGTCCTGATTATCGCTTCGAACGCGTCAATGTCCGGATTCATTTGTATTGGGGTTATACTGGGTGGACTTTCATTCTCAAATTTTTACTCTTAAAAATAGCTCCTAGCTTTTTTTGTGAACGGGTCCATTCTTGTCATTCATATAAATCTAGTTGTTTTTAAATTTTCAAAATGTCGCAGCTGAATACACAAATCTGGAGTTGTTTTTATACGACCGCAAAACTTTCATCATCCTAAGACATTAGGTTTCCAGACAATAACTTGAGTATAAGTGTATGAATCTCTATGAAATTGTACCACCATTTAAGAATTTTGGGCCAAAAAGGGGTCAAAAGCAAACATTTTTCTGGTTTCAGGACAAAAATTTGAGTGTAAGTGTATGGATTTGTATAAAATTTGTACCACAAGGTTCCATACAAGAAAAGGAAGGTTGGATTGATATTTGAGGCTATGACTGTATCCGCTTAGGAATTAGGGGCCAAAAAGGGGTAAAAAAACGGCAATTTTTATACGACTGTAAATTGGTCTGACATTGTCGTTGATGTCATCTTCATCATTTGCCTCACAACCACAAAGTTCCATATCTCAAAAGGAAGGTTAGGATTGATTTGGGGGGTTATGGCCCTAACAGTTTAGGCTAAAGTGACCAAAAACAATACTTTTCTTATACTTTGCATTAATTGTGTAGATTGCTGATTTCTTGACCAATATCAATGGGGTTTTATTCTTGGGGTTCTTATGCTGAATTTAACCGTATATTTAGATTCTGGATTTTGGGCCCTGTTTTTAAATTGGTCCACATTGAGATCCAAAGGGTACAAAATTAAATTTTGTTTGATTTCATCAAAAATTGAATAATTGGGGTTCTTTGATATGCTGGATCTAACCGCGTATTGAGATTTTTTATTTTGGGTCCATTTTCAAATTTGTCCACATTAAGGTCTAAAGGGTCCTTAAACTTTATTTGATTTTAACAAAAATTGAATTCAAGGGGTTCTTTGATATTCTGAATCTAAACATGTATTTAGATTTTAGATTTTGGGCCCAGTTTTCAAGTTGGTCCAAATCCGGTCCAAAATTAAACTTTGTTTGATTTCAACAAAAATTGAATATATGGGGTTGTTTGATATGCTGAATCTAACCATTTTTGCTTACCTTGTATTTAGATTTTGGATTTTGGGCCCCATTATCAAATTGGTCCACATTGAGGTCAAAAGGGTCCAAAATTAAACTTAGTTTGATTTCCTAAAAAGTTGATTTTTTGTTGTTCTTTCATATGCTGAATCTAACCATGTATTTAGATTTTGGATATTGGACCATAATAGGTAAATGTCCAATTTCAAATTTTTAAGTTCTAAGTTTTAAGAACTTTTTTGTTCAAGTTTCAGTTTAAAGCGTTGATTTTTCTATCCAAAATAGACAAAAAAATAGATATGTTTGGGGATTTAGACCAAAATTGTCAGGATTTCATCCAAATTAAGGTTTTGTCCCAGGTAAGAGTTGTCTTTTTGACACTGTTGCTACATCTTTTTTTATTAATATTGTATTTATATTGTGTCATAGATCAAACTTACTGGTTCAGTAATAAAATTTGAGAATGGAAATGGGGAATGTGTCAAAGAGACAACCCGACCAAAGAGCAGAAAACAGCCCAAGGCTACCAATGGCTCTTCAACACAGTGAGAAAATCCCGCATCAGAGGTGGGCTTCAGCTGGCCCCTAAACATAAATGTGTACTAGTTTAGTAAAAATGGACTTCACACTAAACTCCAAAACATATAGATGAAATAATTATTAGAAAAAACATACAAGACTAACAAAGGCCAGAGGCTCCTGACTTGGGACAGGCGCAAAAAGCACTGCAGCGGTGGGGTTAAACATGTTTTGTGAGTCTGTGTTTACTTGCTTTTGTTTATATGTCTTTCTGATCGAGTTAAGCCATTTCAATTGATATTTTATAGTGTCTTTTTATGTTGTAATGTTACACTACTATCTCAGGATAGCGTGAATGTTGGCGCCTGTTAAAACGTTTAAACAAACATTTTGTGAAAAGATCTTTGTTGTCAGCACATGCACTTTATGTTTCCTGTAAAAATTTAATGGAAAAATCGAAATGAATGCTATTTGTGACGTCATGAATTGAAGCCAAGTACTTAAATTTTCAACAAAAAGACATATGTCCTATCTATCTATCTATCTGGCTAGGATTCATTGTAATATAATGGTCAATCAATTCTAATTTGAAATTGTAGTTAAAAATAGGGACTGTTTTAGGGCCTAATAAAACCTACTCCTTTATTTTGTTTGTGAAATTTACATTCGTATAAAGGATAAAAACTTTTAAATAAAAAAGAATGAAGAAACACATTTAGCCGGCTATTTTTTATTTGCTAGATATCTACATGTATTGATATGAAGATTAAACTTAAATTTGTGTCCATTTTGCCTTCTGAAATAGTACAGAACAAGATTTCCTGAATTTAGTAGTATGATCTTTTTCCTTTAAGTAAAACACCTCCATATCCACCTCCTTTGCCCCATCCTCCATATCCACCTCCTAGGCCCCATCCTCCATATCCACCTCCTAGACCCCATCCTCCATATCCTCCTCCTTTGCCCCATCCTCCATATCCACCTCCTAGGCCCCATCCTCCATATCCACCTCCTAGGCCCCATCCTCCATATCCACCTCCTTTGCCCCATCCTCCATATCCACCTCCTAGTCCCCATCCTCCATATCCACCTCCTAGTCCCCATCCTCCATATCCACCTCCTAGACCCCATCCTCCATATCCTCCTCCTTTGCCCCATCCTCCATATCCACCTCCTAGACCCCATCCTCCATATCCACCTCCTAGACCCCATCCTAGGCCTCCATATCCACCTCCCCATCCGCCTAGCCCTCCATATCCGCCACCATATCCACCACAGCCTTTACCCCAACATTTGCCGTAAGAGGCATTGGTGCAGACAGCTGCCAGTAGTAAACCTAGAGCAATGGAGAGCTTCATGTTGTATCTGAAAATATATGTATATAATTTATATATATATAATTTAATTTATGTGGTACAACTTCTAATCGTTTTGAGTTGGTGTTTTAAGGATGATAATATCTTTGTTGTATGACATTATGTAAGTGACTTTGGTTGTGTTTTTTGGTTATATAAACTTATGAGAACATATACAGTGTTAACTGGTTAAGGAACAAATAAAAAGGATAGATTTTTCTTCATGTTAGTATGAATAAATGGAGATGTGGGGTTATACATCAATGAGACAGCAACCCAATGACACAAATAACCAATAGACATCATGCATGATATCCTCACAGAAATTTTGAAGTGAATATTAGGTAAAGGCAAATAAAAAATGAAAATTAAAACTTAAATATCTATATGAAATTTTTGTTCAATAAAATAAAGCTGTCTTTTGTACCTATTTATTAATGTTCTCCTCAGTAAAACTCAGAACTACCAGACTATAGGATAAGAAAACTAAAGCTTGGCAAGACTTCCTTTTGAATCCCCTTTCATATAAGTATATGCTTATTCTGTCAAACCAAGGGGTTTAAAAGGAGGTCTGTCTGTTGCCTGAGTGTTGGTACATGGAATATAAAGTTGTTAGTGCCAATCTCTTCTTTTTTTATTTAGAAATAGAAATTTATGTAGGAAAGCAATTTATGTATTTGAGGAGCAACATGTTGTTTGCTTTTATTTTGAATAAACAGGCACTTTAAATACCCCCCCCCCCTCCTTCTTTTTACCCCTTTATGATAGAAAACTACAACACATGTTTAAAGAAAATTAAGGTCCTATGTTTCTATTGGAGATACTTTAATGCATGCTTTGCAGAGAATTACTCATAGATTGAGTTCAAATCATACAACAAAAATGAGCTTAGAACTGGTACTAATATAAATTTAGTATTAATTTTTGAAGAACAAAAATTCTGAAAAATAGTAGAGCTACATTACAACACTATAACACTATTTTTCTCTGAATATCATGTGACCAGATGAATAGGCTACATTATAATGCAAAGTATTGAGATAGAACAGTTACTGTAGTTCAGAATGTTTCAGGCTACATTATAATGCAAAGTATTGAGATAGAACAGTAGTTCAGAATGTTTCAGGCTACATTATAATGTAAAGTATTGAGATAGAACAGTTCAGAATGTTTTTGTAGAATGCAGAAATCTCGTATTATAGCTGTATAAGGAAATAGATCATTGCACCTGGATCTCAAATATTTTATTTCGTGGAAAGTGGACAGAACACAATAACACTGATTAGACAATATAAGTAAATCAGAAGTAAAGTAAACATCATTGAGATAACAATATCCAGTCATTTATAAGAAATTTTCATTACTTTTTATTTCATGCATATGTATGTCAGGATTTGGAGTAATAGGTGACATTATGTACTAAATAATGCACAGTGTGTGACAAAATGTGACACTATGTACTAAATAATGCACAGTGTGTGACAAAAGGTGGTCATTAAGAGTAGACATTTATGATCAAGGTCCTGATCTAAGATTACTTTTGCCAAAAATCAAATCTTGCAATTCTGGTCAGGATGAAATTTCTTGAGGAAAATTAATAATTGCCCATTTGAAGGAAATTGGATAACACCGACATGAAACAGTTGGTTTAACAGTATGATGACCAGGGAATATTTTTGTGGTTGGATTTTATCATCCATATATTTATACCAAAAATTCAAGTAGCCCTCTAGGAGTGGCAATATTATAGTTTATGATAGGAGGCATACAATTATAGTAATTTACAAAATATATGACTGCTTAAAAATCTCTATAGTGATCACAATATTAAAAGGAGTAATTTAACTGTGGTCTTTAAAGAGCAAAGCCAAAGAAGCATAATTTTGAATAGTACTAGTAAAGTCTTTGATATTATCCCAAGTCAAAGTAAACTGCCTATTTAAACAGTTTATTAACAGATTTTTAGCAGTTTCTTGAATTTTTAGCAATTTTTGAGCAGTTTGAAGCAGTTAAATAAGGATGGAAATCTAATCTGATGGTATTTATTTTAGTTCTTGAAGGTGATGGTTGTTCCTTTTAAAATTATTATTTCTGTAAGAGGTCTTATGTTATATTCTTCTTGTAATTTTGAAAAGAAACCGAATTAAAATGTATTAAATTTCAAATGAAATATCATTGAAAAATAATTTAAGATCAGAGGCATCATTTTAAATCTGAATTATTTTCAAAGCATAAGACTTTAGCATGAGAAGAAGAAGCCTGATCCTGAATATATTTTTCAAATGTCATAGACAATGAATAGGTTACAATAAGATTACTTACCTTGTATAGGATGGGAACGTTGTGCTCTCATCATTGTGCTGTAGGAGTATATATACTATAGCATGCTATGTAAGATTGATGAGGAATATTTTTCAATTCATCAGAAATTGTCACAATTTTTTCACAAAAAGTTCCACAAAAAGAAGAAGGTCATCATTATATTGTTTTATGACTTTTATTGATGTAAACATGCATAAATATTCACTCATTATAATATCATTTATCATAAGTGATGAATTCCGTCTTTATTATAATAATATTTATCATAATTACCAATTAAGGTTATTCTAGCCCAGAATTTAAATTACATCTGAACATTTTTAGGTCACCAGGCTCAAAGGTTTCTCATAAATGGTTTGTTTTTTTTTTAATCACAGAGCTGTTTATAGAACAAGGCATCTTGATCACGCTCCTGAAAAGTGACTCTGGTCATTTTCTCATTGGGATAAAAATTTTCACGTCAATTTTGCAACCCTTATGGAAAAATAGACCCCTGAGATTGAAATGTAGTAGCAAGAGGGTGTTCAATTTTCCATGGTAGGGGTCAATTACCATGGCGAAAAACATGGGGATCAAAATAACATGGCTCAGATAGGCTGTTGTTACATGTATATCTTGTCTAACATATTTTACTTGATAAGGATATTTGCTGGATCATTATTTATATTTGTACTAGAAAAATCTGATTTATATGCTATAGCTATTAAAAACATTGCTTTTTTAAAAGTTAGATAAATTTTCCATGATAGGGGGAGTCAAAATATCCTTGCAGATTCAGATCCAGGATTTGAAACAAAAAAAGGAGGTTGTCAGTCAAAATGCCAGGATAAGATAATGTATTATGTCTAATTTCTAATGTATTTTATTAATTCCGGATTTTATTTTAGCATAACTATAACTAGATTTAGTTTAAATGCTACGATAATTTGAACACCTAAAGATAGGGGGTTAAATTTTCCATAGTAAGAGGAAGGGAGGCAAATTGCTATGACTTAGTAAAAGAGTTCTCTTATCTTTCCAAATATGTTTTTTTATTCCAGATACACATTATACCTACAAAAATAAAGAGAAAAATGCTATTTGAAAAATTTGAAATTCTGACATCTAAGGGGTGACATCTAAGGGGGTTAAAGTTTGTATCTAGGTTCAATTTTCCATACATGGAGGACAGTCAATTTTCCATGGGGGTCAAAATACCACATAAAAGTCCAATTAAAAGGTTTGTCCAATGACTGCATTACTGAACCAAATCATCAAGGTGCCTATTATTTGATAACAGATGATATTGTGATAGTAATCTGTTATTTCTTTGCTTTGACAACAGATGATATTGTGATAGTAATCTGTTATTTCTTTGCTTTGATAACAGATGATATTGTGATAGTAATCTGTAATTTCTTTGCTTTGATAACAGATGATATTGTGATAGTAATCTGTTATTTCTTTGCTTTGATAACAGATGATATTGTGATAGTAATCTGTTATTTCTTTGCTTTGATAACAGATGATATTGTGATAGTAATCTGTAATTTCTTTGCTTTGATAACAGATGATATTGTGATAGTAATCTGTAATTTCTTTGCTTTGATAACAGATGATATTGTGATAGTAATCTGTAATTTCTTTGCTTTGATAACAGATGATATTGTGATAGTAATCTGTAATTTCTTTGCTTTGATAACAGATGATATTGTGATAGTAATCTGTAATTTCTTTGCTTTGATAACAGATGATATTGTGATAGTAATCTGTAATTTCTTTGCTTTGATAACAGATGATATTGTGATAGTAATCTGTAATTTCTTTGCTTTGATAACAGATGATATTGTGATAGTAATCTGTAATTTCTTTGCTTTGATAACAGATGATATTGTGATAGTAATCTGTTATTTCTTTGCTTTGATAACAGATGATATTGTGATAGTAATCTGTAATTTCTTTGCTTTGATAACAGATGATATTGTGATAGTAATCTTTTATTTCTTTGCTTTGATAACAGATGATATTGTGATAGTAATCTGTAATTTCTTTGCTTTGATAACAGATGATATTGTGATAGTAATCTGTAATTTCTTTGCTTTGATAACAGATGATATTGTGATAGTAATCTGTAATTTCTTTGCTTGAAGTTTGGTTATGCTTGGTGACCAATACAGGCTCCTTGGAACTCCTTGTTTTTTGTGACTTAGCAATTTAACCTATCAATTACACTTATAACAGCACAGATAAAAAAAAATCTAGAATACCATTTATTTTTAAAAATGCTGTATTTGAGTATTATTTTTTGTATAATTGGTTTTTGATCTCCATTTTTTTAGCTCACCTGGCCCGAAGGGCCAAGTGAGCTTTTCTCATCACTTGGCGTCCGTCGTCCGTCGTCGTCGTCGTCGTCGTTAGCTTTTTACAAAAATCTTCTCCTCTGAAACCACTTGGCCAAATTTAACCAAACTTGGCCACAATCATTGTTAGGGTATCTAGTTTAAAAAATGTGTCCGATGACCCCACCAACCAACCAAGATGGCCACCATGGCTAAAAATAGAACATAGGGGTAAAATGTAGATTTTGGCTTATATCTCTGAAACCAAAGCATTTAGAGTAAATCTGACATAGGGTAAAACTGATTATCAGGTCAAGATCTATCTGCTCAGAAATGTTCATCTGACAACCGGTTGTTGGGTTGCTGCCCCTGAATTGGTAATTTTAAGGAAATTTTGCAGTTTTT